TTTTCGGTTTTAAGTGCTATAATCGGGTCCCTGGTGCATCTACCAACCCAGGAAATGTGAAAAAGATTAATTCAGTAACTTTGTTTTGGTAAGCCTTTTTCTGCAAGCGTCTGAAAAAACGAGCGCGTTGGATTTCACTCCCTGTGTGACGTGGCAAAGGGATCTTATTATAATATCACTGCCCCTTTATCTGCACGTTTCCACTCACGGCGCCGCCATTCTGTTTTTGCAAGCAACAACGGTGTACCAGTTCTAGCGTTTAGCGCTGTGCCTTTAAAAGTATTTACATATTTATTTACTGTATATTATGCTGCTGCCACACAGATCTAATATAAACATGCGATTTCTTTCCCAGCTGTTTACCTTCACAGACATAACAGACTGTTTTTGTAACTCATGGGTTTTTAACATAAACTTTTGTGTATTTGTTTGACTAAGCGCAATAAGACATGAAAGTGAACTTAGTTTAGTACTCACATACCGTGTGACAGCTGCTTTCTGTGCGTGTGCTTCGGATGTGTGCGCTCAGAAAACCATATATCAGAAGTTTAAACTAATATGGTTTAAAACGCATTATTTCAGCTCGATAAACATGATAATCAGAACCACAACAGATGTTTTTTAGCAGGTCCGAGCTGTAATGGTGCAGCTATATTCTGGAAAAGGGGGCGGGGAGCAGCAGCTCATTTGCATTTAAAGATACATGCACGAAAACAGCATGTTTCTGCTTCCTCTCAAAATAGGCTGTGACGAGTGGGGCGGGTCCGAGAGCTGTGGGAGGGGAGCGAGGCCGGTGGAGTGAATGATAATCAGCGACACCTGCGCCATTCCCCGGTCTCGAGTCCCACGGAGGAGCTCCGGAAGGATAAAAGGAGGAGTGACGACAATGCAAGACGAGAGAGGACCAGGCCTGGATTTTATTTTGTGTTTTGTGTGCGGCAGTCGTCAGTGAGGGGCTGCCGCTTTACTTTTGCGTTTGTTTATTTTGTTATTAAATGGTTTAAATGTTCGCCGGTTCCCGACTCCTTCTTCCTGTGACTACAAACTGTGTTACATTGGCGCAGGTGTCGCTCATTATCAATTACTCCACTGGCCTTGCTCCGATCCCACAGCTCTCGGCCCCGCCCCACTCGTCACATAGGCATTTTCAAAATGATATAATAAATGATCTGTGGGGTATTTTGAGCTGAAACTTCACAGACACATTCTGGGGACACCTGAGACTTATATTACATATTGTAGAAAGGGGCATGATAGGTCATGTTTGACCAACTATCAGTAAGCCAATAAGTAATCACTCTTATTTTTGGAATTAACTAATTATGCTTTTATGTAACTGAATAAAAAAAATTATGACTAGTCTTAAAGAAAAAAATTAGATGACTAACTTGTAAGACCAGTCTAAACCTTTTATGCAACTGGCCCCAGATAACCAGACCTTTATCACCAAAATTCTGAGAACATTCCCTGTTGGGAATATGCAGATAAAAAAACAACTATTTTAATTAAAAATATATTTGTAGTAATGATAATAATATAACATTTATTCAAAGCTGTTTTGTGATTGTGATTTTGGCTGCTTTGCTTGTTATTATTATTATTATTGATCAGTGGCCGTTAGATAAAAGCTGAATAATTTAAGCAATAGATTAAACAGATGACATTCTGGTAAATAATAGCCATTATTCAACCAATTATTGCTCTATTTCTAATGGTAGTTTTGGCCAAAGTTAAGTATCATAGTAACCATAACACAGTGTTACAGTTAGTAAAACCACTGTAAAGTAATATGGCATCTCCAATTAATAGGCCTATAACAAGCTTTAATTTATGTTTCAGACAGTGGATGACTGTAGATGACAGTGGTAACTAATATCAAGTTACCAATGTTTTATAGTAACAATTGTTCTAATTACAATATTATTTCTTGATTTATAAGAAAATTGTTGATGAAGAAATTTTTGCAGACAAACACTTGAAATATAAGCTCGAGCTGGACTTACTTTCTCCTGTACTCGTCTCTCTCTCGCTTGACTTTGGCCAAAACATTGTACAAGGCCCTGAGTTCAGGTGTGATGGTGTCGATCTGAACCCCGACACCGTCGGGATGAGTCCAGGACACTCCAGGTCCCTGATGCGTCTCAAACCGTCCTCCGTATCGGGCGGTGTGTGAGAAACTCCAGATTCTACCGGGGAGTCTCGACTGACACAGTGCGTATGAGGAAGGCAGCTCGAGGTTCGTCTGGACCGCTTTATCCCGGGAAAACAGCAGTCGGTACCGGGATTGCTCCTGGGCGTGCTGCAGCTGGATCTCCAATAACTTATTTCTGCGCTCTAACTCGTGGACTTTGGAAAGGAAGCAGCGGAAGCGGAAATTTAGTGTTTTTAACACATGAATGTTGGAGCCCAAATCGTTTCTCAACGCGCTGGTTGCCATAGCGCCGGACCCGCTCCTAGCCGCACACACTTCATTCATACCGATGGGTGCCGCGGATTCATTAAACAACATCGGGTTGAGAACCGGGTCCGGAAAACGACGAGGTAAATCCATCTTTATTCGTGAGCAATGTTTCTATGCATCAAACTGCAGATGCTGTAAAGCAGCATACGTCACCTCCATGCTCTCGGACGCAAGGTGCACTCCCTTTATCTAATGTCACACAAATAATAGGCCATAGTCGCGCTTCTAGCGGTCGGATAAAGCGCATTGACCGGTACACATTTCATGAACTCACAGCTGCCCTCCTACCATCCCCTGGTGAGTAAACGGGCCGGTTATTAGTCTCAACTTGCCGTAGAGACTCAGGTTTCAGCCCAGTCTGGGAACACCATCCGGAGGAAACGGGAGGAGAGGAAGACATGTCCGCTCCGCCCTCCAGTAACAGTCGCATTGGCTACTGTGGCTGTAAGACACGCCCTTTTAACCCTAAAAATGGCAAGACCATAAAGAGACATCAGAAAATTAGTTTATTGCTATTTTCCATCTTATTGGGACACAAATAATACAACTTGATCATTTTTTTCAAAACATGACTTTTAATTTTGATTTTAATGTTTGTATCCCACAGGATACGTTGCCAGTTTGGGGGTATAAATGAACTGAAAACAGAACACTTGTTTATCAATGCTTGTTACAACATGGTTGTAATTCCTGAACGCTTTGGAATACAGACCTAAGGTTGGTCTCTTTTTAAAGAAGACACATAGCAGAGTATTGCTGAAGTGAAAGCATTTCAAAGTAAAAAAAAGTTATAGTAGTTTAAGTTTGCAGTAAAGATAATGCAGTATACAATTTTTTTAAATTGTATATAAAATAAAAATACAAAATATGTTGCACTTCAAATTGCTATAAAATCTAAGCCATATGTCTAACCAAGTTATGTTCCAAATTTGAAGTTGATATCACCAAAATTGTGGTTCCTGTGAGATTGTCCCCTACAACATGTGTAAATATGTGAACTAGATCAACCTTTATCGGAGGGTGAATAGATTTCGAACTACTGGTGGCCATGCAGTTTTACATGCTGCCCGTGAGCTAAACAAAGAATGTATGAACAAAGTCAATAAATCTAAATATTCACAACAAACACCCTTTCAACATGAAACCAAGAAATGAGACCTACATAAACTCTATTGAATTTCTTTGATGCAGTTTTCTGTCACAAATCAATAATTTTCTGTCACAATATCTCTTCTATTACAAAACAGTCACCAAATATGGAACCTTGACTGTCAGACCTTTCCAACGCGAACTACTGGTGGCCATGCAGTTTTACATGCTGCCCGTGAGCTAAACAAAGAATGTATGAACAAAGTCAATAAATCTAAATATTCACAACAAACACCCTTTCAACATGAAACCAAGAAATGAGACCTACACTCCCTGCCTCTCCCCACAGCCTCTCAAATGTTTGTATTCCACAGGATACGTTGCCACTTGCCAGTTTTAGGGTTAATTAACATATTACATAACTGGCGTGGTTATTAGCGCTGTAGGCCGTAGCATTTAGCAAAAGTATTTACATGTGAAATATTTGGCTTTGTATACAGTGTTCAAGTTATAAAACAGAACTTTGTTTGTTTGTGGCCTTAATATGACATGGGGTCATTATTACAGTACTTATTTGAACTTTGTAACTTAAAATAAATTTTTTTGTGTTCTAATTTAAGTAAATGTTTATATAAAAGGGTACAGAAAATTTAGAAATAAGTTTAAATATGCTAGAAATATGAATATGCTTTGAGACTTTTCATTTTATAACATTTATAATCGTAAATGATTACAATTAATATCTTTAGAGGATCCATTAATAGACATTGGTGCATTTGTGCTGTTCTTTTCCCACCAAAATGATGTCACTTCCTAGAGGAAGGCTTTTGTTAGTTAAAGGGTTATTACTAAAAGACTTAACAGGATGGAAAGAGATGTCAAACTGTGACTTGGCAACCAGTTTAACACAATTAAAACTAGAAAACAAGTTCAGTCCTGATTATAGAAAGGGAACCATGAAGGAAAACCTTTCTGAAATCTTTATAAATTTTCAGTTAGGCAGCATATGGCTCTAATGACTCTTCCACTCAAACAAAAGTCGTGAAATTAATAAAAATTCACCCATACCTTCAATTAATTGTGATAATATGGAAAGAATAATTTAACAAAGGATTTCTGTCTCTAAAAACTGGTCTTAATATTTTACCGGATAGAAGGAATAAGCGAACCTTCCAGAAGTAAAGAACCTTCTTTTGCGGTTTTATTATATCTTCGATGCAGTGTTGTTATTTGTTGACTTTTTTTTGTAACAATGTTAAAGGGGTACTAAAATGACTAAAACTGAAAAAAAAGAAAAGAAAAAAAAAGGCTAAGTAGAAATATATAAAAAACTACATAAGACATACTAAAACTTAAATTGAAATAAACTAAAAATATAAATATTCAATTCAATAATAGTATATAAATACTAAATAACTGCTTAGATGACACATTGAGTCAGATATGGTATTCTTACACCTTTATTAAGTTGAGCTAATTCAAAAAGCAGACATTCAGCAACAGTTGAACATTGTAGCAGCGGGAATAGGCGAATAAACACTAACTGGGTTTTTCTTGTTTTAAAACAAACTTCACACCATGCATTCAGCTCAAGAACACCCTATCGCAGGTGTGTTTATATTAGAAGAATAAACTTAAAATCACTGAGACTCTTCTCTCAGTGGCACCTTGCTTACCAGAAGCACAACTTGCTCTGGGGAAAATCTTGAATCTGTGGAATATTACGGTGTGAATTACGGTCACATGGAAGACAAAACGAAAAATAAATTTAGTATCGTGATTTTGAAAAAAAAAAAACACAAAAAAGGCTCCCAAAATAAATATGCAGGCCCTTTTTATTCTCTTTATCTTTGTTTCATTGTTGATGCAGGTAAAACCCTTTACAAAACAAAGTATTTCCATTTCTTGGGAATAACACATTAAACAAGCTTTCATCTCACTCTTTAACCATTTACACATGAAAAACAATCGTCACACATTTGCATCGCATCACAGAACCACTGTCAGGCCTTTCTCACAAACTGCAAACAATTCATAGAACACCACTGCAAAAAAAAAAAAAATCCAGAAACATAGAACAAGATGACAAGAGATTAGTTCTTGTGTGAATCTGTAACTCTTAGCCAATTTAGAACTTGAGTCAAAAACCACCATAAAAAAAAAACAAGGGGGAAAATAAAAGCCATAAAGGTTGTTTATGAATTATGAAGATTACCTGCAAAATGTCGGATCAAAACAGCATGGTGTTTGTGTGTATTAGGTGTTACAAAACCATTGTAGATTAAATGCGCATTAACTCGTCAGGCTACATGTCACTTTCTTGTTTAGGAGAGAGCTATAACTGAATGAACCCACGCGGAGATCAAGAGCAGAAGTGGAGGTGAATGAGTGTGTATGCGAGCTGATAGAAGTTTTGGGAGCCTGGGCTCCGATTGAAAGGTGTCCTTATGGAGTTGCGAATAGCTGTGTCCGGGTAGCGGACAGACTCCGTGTTTAAGGAACACCTGCACTGGACAGAGAGCTCACGAGTCCATAAGTGAGGTGCATAAATGTGTGCCATCAGGGCACAGAGTTCAACAGGTCCTGCAGGAAGGCGTCAGGGTCTGGGATGTCTGACAGAAGACCTGGGAAAAGAGTCAGTACAAGAGATTAATATTTTGTGCAGCCACATTATTGTATAGCTCAACACTGCCTATTACTTCCGGCAGAGCTTTGTGTTCAGTACATGGCAGGAAAATGTATTAAAATGTCTGACCTACGACATCCAGGAACTCTGAGAAGGATTCAGCAGGCATGAGCTCATCCTGGAAAGCCCTCAACACCCTTTCTGAAGCCTCATAGATGGGCATGTCATTGTGCCTTACGTACTCTGCAAGCGAGAAGGACCAGCCTCCCTCTGTGTTACTGGTGGGCACTTTCTGTTGTGGGAATAGACAGATAAAATTAGATTTCATGGAAACATGAACTTATTAGAAATTACACACACAAGTGTGAGGAACAGCAAAAAAGAACACATTCTCATACCCTGAACATATCAAAGACAAGATGCACCAGACCCCAGAAGAGAAGCGGTGAGCGGTAGACAGCATACTCCTTCACTGCTTTGTCTGTGAACCTGAGACGATAAAAATCAAATATGCAATTAAATCATCAGACAGATATTATTCAAAATCAAATAAAAATGGCATAAACTATATAAAATTTATGTATAACCATGCATATATATATCGTTTTTTATATATATAGTTTTAAATGTAAAAAAAAATAAAAAAATTAATATAACAAAAATCTGCAATTAAACAATTACCATTATTAAAAAAAATTATTAAAATAAATTAATGTAAAAATATGTGTGTATCAATGTTTATTATATAATTACCATAAACAAAAGAAAAAACTGCAATTAAATCACTCATTGATGTGTATCTATAAATCTATAAAATGTATATGTATCAAAGTGTGTGTGTTATATATATATATATATATAAAAAATCACACTTTTAATTGATTGAAAAAAAAAAAACTAAATGTTGAATAAAATAAAATCTGCAAATAGAACAATTAATAATCAATGAATATATATTGTGTGTGTGCACATAAATATATACACATACACACACTAGACTTGTGCAGGTATTCGGTAATGCCATATATCACGGAAATGAATATGCACGATATTGTTATCGTGGGCACTTCTAAATACCGTGAATAATTATATATGACAAATTATTTAGAATTTTGAATGCATTTTAAGAATACTTTTCCCATCAACTGGTCAAAATGCACAACAAGGCTGTATGCTGCGTGAAAGACACGTGCGCACTCTGACGTAAACAAGCGCGGACGAGAAGCACATGGCGGAACATGTGAGAGACGCTCTGGATGAAAGCGTGACATTATATAATGTATAATAATAATAATAATTTAAAAAATCTTCTGAAACACAGTAGTCACTCAAATTGAAAAACTTTACAAACAGTAATACTGAAGCCTGAAACAATCTGACACGCCCAGCACAAGCCATGTCTGATTTAATCTTGCGTCAATCTTTTAGGCATAATACAGGCTTAAAGCCAACATCAGCAGTTTGAGTAAGCACAAAACACTTGCCAAAACCAAAAATAGACACCCTAAGCACGTAAAGTACAGCACACGCTTGTACAAGCTCTTTAATGTTCAAGCTCTGACACATGCACAGTCATGCTTTGTTCCCTTACTTGTTAGCACCCCCTGGTGAGACCTTGCGGGCATGAGAAGTGACCAGCAGCCTACGCAGGAAGTCAAGACGCGTAGCCCCCCAGCGCTCTGGTGGCAGGATGTGCATGGCCAATATGGTGAAGTAGTGCGGCCCGTCCACCTCGTACGAAGTCTCCATCCACTTTTCACAAGGCTGTTCTAAGAAGCTTTGAAGATTCTTCTCCTCCCGTGACGTGGCCCTTGTTCTGAAGAGAAATTCAGGAAAAAAAATGTTTAGAATCTCAAAACGCACTGGAATTTAAATCTTATCTTTGATAAACATACGTGTTAAGGACATAGAGAACGGTGTGAATGATGTAAGGGATAAGGTGGATGTTGCTCTCGCAGCCTCCTCCCCCTGTGTCCGCACTGAAGGACTGCTCCATAGCAAAGCGCAGGAACAGCAGCTTGGTATCGTGAATGTTGAGCTGGTACGTGGGTTCCCTTTGCCCAGTGCACTCTTGCAGATATGTGTTGTGCCTGTGACAGTACAAAACAAGCTTAAAATCCTGTATATATTCAGGAGTACATCTTAGCTTTAAACAAGCTGCAAGGATGACCTTGCCAGGCAGGTGGCGAAGGCAGATTCGGGTACGTGTGGCCCCCAAACCGGTAGGAGCCCATTGCACTTTGTGTTGGCATTTTGTAGTGCGGCACTGTCCCATTCCTCACGCCCTCTGGCAAGCCTGATCCAGACCAACAGAGAGAAAATTATGAAACAAGTGAGATGATAAAACCTTCCTTAAATTTATAGTTATAATTCTGTCATCATTTACTCATCCTCAGTTGACGGTAGCCATTGACTTCCATAGTATTTTTTTTCATGTTAAGGAAGTCAATGGCTACCGTCAACTGTTTGGTTACCAACATTCTTCAAAATATCTTCTTTTGTGTTCAACAGAAGAAAGAAACTCATTCAGGTTTGGAACAACTTAAATAACAGAATTGTCATTTTGGGTGCAGTATCCCTTTAATCAAATCCACTGTATTCACAGCAGTTTCACGCACCTGACAGCAGCAAGGTGACAGTCATAGTGAACTATGTTAAAGTGTGAGACAGTGCTGTAGCCCTGCTGCTTGCGGGGTTTGTTCTCGAACTCCTCAAGGGCCACACGCTTTGTAAATGTGTAGATGCCCAGAACTTTGGTAGGCTGTGGGGTACAAAGTATGTTCAAGGATCAGACAATGAAGAGGTTGAACATTAACATCTACAGTTAAATAAAACATCATTGGTAGATAAATGGACCTGGAACTTGTAGCCCTCTCTACAAATACAGCAAGTCAACCCAGGTTCTTCTATGAGCTCCTCCATCTGTTTAAGCAGGGACGTCTTGGTCACCACCTGACCCTTCTCATTGGTCTAAAACAAAGCAAAAATCAGAAAGATGTGAATTCAAAGTTGATTTTTTTCTGGATTATACATCAAGATTCTATCAATAAATGCAACTCACTGTCATTCCCAGGGTGCCTAGAGCTTTCTGCCTCATCGCCATGGCCATACGTTTCTTCTCTGCCCGAGTCTCCCTTCGGGCAGCGTCGATCTTCAGGTTAACCTCTGCGTGTTCCCTTAGTGCCTCCAGAAGATTCTCTGCTAAAGTGCCGATACCCTCGTCACTGGACACCTGCTCCAGCTTGTGCAAATTGGTTATTGAATCGGTTCCGATTAGCATCTATAAGAAGAAGAGATGGTTTAATTCATGTTATTTGCCTTGCCCGTGTAAAGGGATACTGCATGAAATTAAAAAAAAAATCTCAAAATAATGATAAAAGTGTTACCTGTGTAGGGGGGTGCTGGGTGGCCAAACCACGCAGCAGTCTAAGGATGAACGGAAGGGCTGGTCGAGCAAGAAACTTCTTCCAAACGTCTGCATCCAGGCTGCAAAATAATATTTATAAGTTAGGATAATCACTTTTTAAACAGTAAAGTTCTTGGATATGGGTAGATATATATTTATTGCATATATTGATGTTTTATATTTTTATAAAAAAAAAAATAATCAAGCTATTTACTTTATATTGCATAAACGAAAAATATGAATAACTTATTTTTGAACAAATTCATATAAAACAAAATCTAATACATATAAATATTATAATAAATATGTATCTATAAAATGTATTTCAGGTTAGGGATAATACATATTGGATATGGATATCAGTACATACATACATACATACAAGCAATAAAAAAAAAAAGTATAATAAATATATATCTAAATATAATTTTTATAAAAAAAAAAATTATATAAATTTATAAGTATTTTGGGATATGGATAAATATACTTTATTATATAAATGCATATACCGGTATTTATTATAAATAGAAATAAATACTATATTAAAATATTATATTATAAATAAACACCATATACTTATTATATTATGACATGTCATACTTCTTAGCACAGGGGATATGTTTCTTCATATAGTCCAGAGCACTCTGAGTGATGCACTTCTGTAAGATGAGGTCTTTCAGTTGATGGCCATTACTATTATTCTTGATTCCAGCAGCTATTTTACAGAAGCAGTCCAGAAAGACCTTGTCATCTGCACTGTGCTCCTCATCATACCTGTATATGAAAACAAATTGTGTTTATTGCAGCAAATTTCCCCTATTGCTACAAAGAGACGTCAGAGTTCCAGGTTATAGAGATGAACAAACTACATACTTGTCGAAGTTGCAGCAGGGTTTAAAGCGCTCGACCAGGATGTGCATCTTCTCTAGTTCACCGAAGGACAGGTAAGGGATGATGCGGAGTAGCCCCTGTAGGACACTGGGATTGGAACGCACAAACAATGTGTTGATCTGGTCCAGCAGCATCACCAGCTGGTCCTTATCACCCGTCAGCAGCAGGTTACCCTGGAGGAGGAACACAAAGGAGAGATCTGAATATAGCTGGCTCACTTCTATTTTGTTGTGATATTCATAGCATAAATCAAAATGTCTTGCTGACCTTGTCTTCAGACACAGTTTCAGCATTGGCCTCATCCAGGATGATCTCCATAATACTAAGAACCTGCTCTGCTATGGATGCTCCTCCACTGTCCTTGCTCTCCTGCTCTGCCACCAATGCCTGAAACATAACATCCGATTAAAAATATTCTCTTAAATATTAAATTTTCTCTCATCAGCTGATTCCTCTGGTATATTACTTACCAGATTCAACGTGCCCAACATAACATTTAGTGTGTTCATCTCTGGTCTCACCAGCTGCTGCCTGTTGATTTTCACTTTCACACAGTAGCTAAATAACTTGAGGAGAACCTATGAAGCAAAAGGTTTTTTAAGGTTTCTGAGGAATTTGTAGAGTGTGATGAATTAGAGTTAAACTTCATACTTACTGTGAGAAGGTGCCTGCCCTGTTTGAAATCTTTATCTGCTATGGATGCTCCTCCACTGTCCTTGCTCTCCTGCTCTGCCACCAATGCCTGAAACATAACATCCGATTAAAAATATTCTCTTAAATATTAAATTTTCTCTCATCAGCTGATTCCTCTGGTATATTACTTACCAGATTCAACGTGCCCAACATAACATTTAGTGTGTTCATCTCTGGTCTCACCAGCTGCTGCCTGTTGATTTTCACTTTCACACAGTAGCTAAATAACTTGAGGAGAACCTATGAAGCAAAACACAGTCATTAGAATTTTTTTAAGGTTTCTGAGGAATTTGTAGAGTGTGATGAATTAGAGTTAAACTTCATACTTACTGTGAGAAGGTGCCTGCCCTGTTTGAAATCTTTAATTCCAGAGAGCCTGTTCAACATGCACTCCAGACCTCCACACTGCGCCATCACTCCAGCCATCTTATATACCTCCTCATCATCCTCCTCTTCATCTGCACAGAGAGAAAACACCAATTACAAGTGAGAAACATGAGAGAAACTACAGGGAAAAAACTGACAATAATGTTAACAAAGAGTCCTGCAATATAAAACCAACCTGTAGTTGAGTCCAAAGACTCAATGAACTCCTCTGTTGCATCACCCAGAAGCCCCCTCATTCTGTAGATGATCCTCATTGGCTCACCCTTTATTGCAAGAAACAGAGGGTTTAAACCATGGTTGATATGAAAAAATAAATAAAGTACCCTTTTTTTTATCTTCTTTAGCTCACCTCATTGGTGGGGCACCAAACCTTCTTATAGACTTCAACAACAGACAGATCCAAACTGATGATCTTGTTATTCACAAGGAGCTGCAAAGAAAAGTCATGTTTAAAAACATATTTCGATGGAGGATCAGATAAGAGTGCCCAAAACAAAGAAAATAAATTTTATTATTTATTAATTTTTTTAAATCACGTAAAAACCTTGTTTTCATTCATGCATGTTTCTGGTTGCACCACTTGACTTAGTTAGGCACACCTCATAACTTTTATTTGGCAGTCAAACATTTTTCAAATATTTATAAAATGTAATATATAAATATTTTTAAAATGTATAATATATACTTGATATGGAAATCTTTTGTAACATTATAAATGTCCTAGCTGAATAAATGACCCTGAACATTTGTACACTAGTATAATTGACCCTTTTTTTATTAAAGGGGTCATATGATGCTGCTAAAAAGAACATTATTTTGTGTATTTGGTGTAATGAAATGTGTTTATGCGGTTTAAAGTAAAAAAAAAAACACATTATTTTCCACATACTGTACATTATTGTTTCTCCTCTATGCCCCGCCTTCTGAAACGCGTCGATTTTTACAAAACTAATCGGTCTGAAAAGCGAGGTGTGCTCTGATTAGCCAGCTATCCAGTGCGTTGTGATTGACCGAATACCCTTAACTTTTATAAAGAATATCTCTTTGGATTTGAGACTTTAGTCTTTGCAACTTTACAGATCTTCTTTATTCACCAAGAGCTTGTAACACTCCAAAGAAAAAGGAAAAAATGAAATTGCATCATATGACCCCTTTAAGGCTTAAAAGTGATTTAGAAATACAAATAATGCAAAATGATGTTTGACGATGTGAATTACTTGAACAAGTCCTAGGACATAGTACTGATTATTACGTACCTCCATGCCGCTGTCGTCCTCTAGTAATGCCACAAGATCACAGTCCTGGCAGATTTTGTTCTTGATGTCCCTCATGAGAGGGCCGATGCCTGGTTCATTACTGCTGTATGGGTTTCCTGGCATACGGCCCTGCAGGAAGTCCTCCTGCTGTGGGTCCTTCTCCAGAGTAACAAAGAACTCGGTCACCTCATTTTCCTCCTTCATAGACATGGATGGGAGAAATGAGTTTGACCAAAATCATTATTCCAAAAGTTAATGTCAATTAGCAAATGTCAATGAGCTGAAGTCTACTTACCGGATAAATTATGCTACATAACCTCTCGAAGATGAAGACAGGGGTGCGATAATCATCTAGGTTGTACCGCTTCGCAGTTTCGATGCACACAGCCATGAATGCTTTGGTCTCAGACTCTGTCCCTACAACAGAAGATATAGCATTGGGATGATTTGGTCTCTAAACATCAGAGAAGACCTGAAGGTGAAGGCTGGAACCTGTAGTCATGTCTTCCAACATCTCCAGCAGCATGTCCTGGGTCTCATCGATCAGTTTGGTTCTCTGGACCACCAACTTCCTTAAGCACAGGTAGCCATTAAGGACCGTGCCAACCAACCGACTCTTAAAGTGACGCTTAATGGACTCCACCTCCACGAATGAGGACAGCAAGCCTGTAGGAGAACAGAAACGGTTAAAACAAGCCACAAGCTCTCAGGAAATTCTCTTAGTTTAACTTCAACTTGAATATGACACAAAAGCTAAAATTCACCTGTCAAGCTCTTGAGGGCATATCCCTGCTGTAAGTCTGTGTTTAGTGTGGCTTCTTCAAGGGCGAGAAGATGAGCAATTTCCTGAAGAACGCCACACAAGTTCAGGTTAATGGAAATGACACATCCTTACAATATAACCTTGTATTATCTAGTTTCTGACAATACCTTGGTGATGAGGTTGCCGATGTATGGTAGGACACCACGAGCAGCCAGGTAAACCTTCCAGTGAGCAGGTTTGATGAGCTTCTGGTACAAAGCCAGGTACTCTGCAGCACACTCCCCTGCAATGCTCAGCTCATCCAGATAACTGAAGACAAAACAACAAAAACTTCAGTCCAGTAAGAAATGGCTCCTACATCTGGCTCGATTGAGCCTAACATGGAAAATATCTGGTACAAGAAGGATTGTTTTATTCATCCATGTCATGTGTACCTTGTTAGAAGGTCCAGAACCTGCTGTTTGCGGCTGGGGATTGTTGTTAGAGCTTCGACAATGGTGCAAGCCGCCTGTCTCGCTGCCTGGGTGGCTGGGGTGAAGAGCACCTACGAGAAGAGTCAGATTACATTAGAGCACATTAATGCAGAAAAGAATCAGACACTCTAGAGTCCTTCTGGGAGCACGTACCTGTCTCAGCCAGTTGTTATGACCCAGCTTGAGCAGCCGAGGGAACAGGCCCTCTGATCTGGATCTCATGAACTGCTTCCACTTCCACATGTACTTCTCCATCAGGTACTGCCTCCTGATTTCAGCCTTATTCAAAGGTTTAGAGACTGTTTCCTGACCTGTTGAAAGACAGAGCAAAAATCAAGTAAAATGTTTCATGCAAAAAGCCCATACCATTGCTAACACAAAATTTGGGTATTTACATCTAGCAGGAAGGCACATTTTCCAGGCTTCATAAGATGCCTTGGGGTCTTTTTTGAGCCAGAGCTGGGCCTGTGCATGGATCTCGTTGTTATATGGCTTAACTGTAGTCAGGGATTCGATGGCAGCATCCTGTTAAAGAGTACAAGTCAAGTAAGTGCATCAATAAGTATCGATTAATACAACATCAGTACTATGAGTCTGTCTTACCTTGTTTTTCTTGCTGGTGGGGGCAGGAGGTTTGATGAGTTTCTGCAGGATCCTCAGGCACATCAGTGTAATGTTCTCCACCACCACAGGGGTCTTTATATTCACCGCCATCAAGAACAGACTCAGTGCTGAAAATGAACAGAGAGGCTTGAGTAGGAAGCACTGATATTAAAATTGACCAATAACTGATATGATCTGATGCGGAGATTATACTTCTGTGGAACAGCTACAGCTTAAGGAAAAATAAAGGTTCAGACTTTTAGCTCTGGAAATCCACCAAAGGACTCACCACAGCGAAGTCTGAGCTCCCAGCATCCTCCCTCCTTAGCAATGGAGTCTGTAAGAAGCAGCATTTCATACTGCAAACTACTGACCTAAATAAGAGATGACGATTGTAAGAACTAAACAGTCAAATAAGTACTACAGATCTACCACATGCATTAAAACAATAGCTACATGTGATCTTTAAAATTTACTATGTAATAGAGACAGTTACCAGATCGGGGTTAGCCCAGTGACCTTTAAGGGCAGCTGACACCTTGGCAATAATGAGGTCATTCATCTGCTGTGTGGCTTCTGGATGATCTCTGCAAAACACATTGACATAAAATTAGTTATCATCTTGTAAAACAAACAGTATTAGCTATTCTTTTCAGAGATTTGCATATTTGGGTGTGTATATACCTGGTAAGCAAACAGACGAGCTGGCGGACCTCCTCCCTCATGGCTCCAGTGCCTCGGCGCAGGTTGTACTCAAACAGCTCTCGGATGAGACCCTGCAGTACCAGGATCTGCCTGATGGCAGTATTGGTTGCCAGCGCACGCAGTAGAGTGATGCAGTGGCCCGTGACTGCGGACGCACAGCCGTAACATTTGGTGGAGGACGTGTATCCGCATCCCAGCACAGAGAGACGTGTATCGCACAGAGAGCGCTCGATACTGGCTTGCTGTGAAGGTGGGTTGGGTGGAGGTGCGGGATGTGCGGGATGAAGCTTCCCGCTGTTGCAGGTCATACTCCAGCAGCTCCTTACGCGATGCAAGCACTTTCTGAATGAGTAATAAAAACAGACTTTACAACAACCATTTTATGATAATATTATTTAATTATTATTATATTACTTAAATATTAATATTATTTAACTTTATTATGCTATTACACACATTTAATTGTTATTTCTAATTATATTAAATTATAATATAATATATAAGCTGCATAAATAAATGATAAAATAATGAAAAAATTTAATAATTATCAACACTTAAACAACATAA